GTTTCGCTTTCACAACGAAACACACAGCGTCACACACGGCGGGCGGGCTTGAGAACGTTGCGGCCGGCGGATTCGACGAAGGAGCGGCCGGCGGGCATGCGGCAACCACATCTGACGACCCCGGGCTGGACTCCACTTCATCCACGGTGAAAGCTGATCCGGCGATCCACAGTGCAAAGTTGATGTATTTCCTCAGCGACCAGCATGGATCAGCTCTAGGCATGACGAAGCGGATATCGTCCTCTTTTGAAAGGCCAAACAAAGCACAGCACCTTCACTACATGGCGGCAGCAACAATACTACAGCGAGAATAAAAGTTACGCCTTCTTTTTTTGCGTGAACATTTGGGCGGCGTTATGCAAATCTTCCCACGTCGTGACGTAGACATGTGGGGGCGTGTTAGAACGAGCCGTTTTAGGTAGGCTTGGTTGACTCTTAACTTTTATAAAGAATATCTCTTTGGATTTGAGACTTTAATCTTTGCAACTTTACAGATCTTCTTTATGCACCAAGAGCTTGTAACACTTCAAAGAGAAAGGAAAAATTGAAATCGCATCATATGACCCCTTTAATATAGATCCAGATCCCAATTCAAATAAAAATCCACATTCAAATCTAGACCCAGATCCAGACCAAAAAACAGTTCCAAAACTGTGTTCAGATTCAAATCCACATTCAAATTTACACCCAGATCCAGATCCAAAAATCTGATTAAAATCCATATCTAAATCTACACCTTGTTCCAGATCCAAAACTATATTCAAAGCCCTGGCATGAGTCAGATTTCATTCAGATCCAAATTCAAATACATATCCACATTTAAATCTACACCCAGATCCAGACCCCAGAAAGATCCAAATCTGTTTTCACATCCAAATTCAGATTCAAATAAACTTCTAAATCTAACCCAGATCAAGGTCAAAAACCTGATCTAAATCATTAAAATCCACATATAAATCTAGACCCAGATCTATACCCCAAACTATAATCAGTTTCAAATTCAGATCCAGAATCAAACCCCAAATCAGATCCCATTAGATCCAAATTTAGACCTGGATCATTGACCCATTATGTTCTATAAAAAGAACTGATCATCAATGCTGTACATAAAGACATGTGCTATTCAAATTAAAGCATATCCAAAGGCCTGCCCTACAACACATGGACATTTTTCAATGCCTATTCTTGTTCATGTTACATACAGTATGCAAGTCCTGTGTAAAGGCTGAGTGACCATCTTATACACTTATACAGTGGCAGCCATCAGTATCAAACCTGTAAAAAACTCAATAATTCATACCAGCAGTAATAAAGTCGACAACAGCCATCAAACCCTCCCTTTCTCTCCTCCTGCCTGACTCTATCAGCTTGAAACTGTACAGCAATCTTGTCGAAAGGAACAAATAGAAAACACTACAGTTTAAACAACCATCTCAAGCAATACAAAAGCATCCTGTCCTGATCAACAGAAGCTTTTTAAGTTTCTACAATCAGAGAATGTTCACTTTTACACACTTTTAATGTACAGAAAATTAATCAAAAGAATCAGACAAGAGCATTCAACATTCAACACCCAACATTCAATTTCCAGTTGACCACATCATATAATTTCACTCTCATGTTTCCGCCAATCTTACAGTACATGCGCACTCCCTGTCCACACAATATTTGGCCTCTGGGTTTAATTTGCTTTGACATCTTCTAATTTTCAGCACTGACATTGTTTTAGTTTGGATTACAGCAGCACTTATTTGTGCATACATTTTGTTATCCCAAAGACATTTTTTAGTTTGAAGCATTGTGGAGCTCCACCCTGTTGCCACGATATGTTTGATGGTTTGATAAGGAAGTCATGAAAAGAGATGCTCAGGAATCCAGTTGGGTGTCTGATGTTAGACATCTGTTTGAAGTGCCACTATGACAGACAGATCAAGCCTCAGTTCAGCTGGAATACTAAAGAGTCTCATTTAGTCATAACACTGTAGGGACTTTTCTGGCAAATGTCTATAGTTTCATTGAACCAAAGCAATTTAGAGTCAGTTTTGATCAGAGTCACTCAAAAATAAAAGTCTGATTGAGCCAAAAATATTCTTTTTAAATTAATGAACTGCCTGCATCTTAAAGCGTGAACTGTTTGAATGAATGAATAAATACCCCGTTCAAATTTTAACCTCAATGTTTTTCCTGAACTTTGGTATTGTTTTCATGATGCCAAAGCACATTTTAGAGGCCAATTTTAGTTAGTTAGTTACTTTTAAATGCCATTTAGACATAATTGACATTACTATAATATAGTAATTATATAGTAAGGTAACACTTTACTTGAAGGGGTGTGCATAAGACTGACATGACACCTTCATAATCATGACATGACACATGTCATGAATATGAAGGCGGTTTTATGCATGTTATGACAACTGTCATTAAGTGTCATTATGCCATTTTTAATGCAAATATTACATTATTTGACCTAACCTAACCCTACCCCTACCCTTATCCCTAACCATATAGCCAATAACAAAGACATCTCAAACAATGTCATCTTTGCATTAAAAATGACATAACTGAGTGAATGACACTTAATGACAGTTGTCATAAACATGCATAAAAAACCCTTCATACTCATGACATGTGTCATGTCATGATTATGAAGATGTCATGTCAGTCTTATGCACACCCCTTCAAGTAAAGTGTAACCTATAGTAATTATAATAATATATAGCAATTATATATTATTATAAAATTATGATATCAATATAAAATATAATATCAATATAAAATTACAATATCAATATATATAAAATGGAGACAATTCTGCTTAAGCAATTTTATATCAAACGTCAGGGAATTATCGAGTCGATTTTGAACTCACGCATTTCTCATTTTTGAGAAAAAAGAGAACAAAGAGTTGCCTGGATTAAGTGAATATTTACTTATAATCCATTTAAAAAGAACCCTGCAGATCCATCCATCATTTGCAATGGAGGAAGTCTATTAGGCTAAGTTTAACACCTGCGTGAGCTGCTTGCGAACGACTCTGTACTGCGGGTGCGGACATTTCTAGACTTAAAGCGTATGAAAACACTAAAAATACAATAAAGAGCTTAAAGTACAAACAAAGACATGACCATTTAGCGTGTGGGTGTCAAACGCGGCAGTGAGGGGAACTGTCTGTCACTGCGAGTGTGTGTGCAATCTGAACCGATCAGGGAGTTTGTGTGTGAGCTGTTCGGATCTCTCCTCCTCTCACACTTCCTCAAACACACTCTCCCTCCCTCTGAGGTCGCAGTCCTCCTGTCCGTGTGTGTATCAGCAAGACTCATTTAGTGTGTGAGGACTGTTTTAAAAGTGTGTACGCTGAGGGGCTGAACTCAAAGCCCCCCGTGGCCGTCTTGATAGCAAACGGAGCCAGTTGATTTCCCCCAGAGACTCCAACGCAGATGGTGTGAGCAGTGAGGGGAAAAGTTTATGACAGCTCTGCTGTTTTCGGTTCACGGCTGCCCCATGGAGCTTTTTGATTTTACGGTTGCAGCTATAGACTTTTGACCGGACTGTTTGACTCAGTAATGCACTTGTATCGGACAGAGTCACGTTCGGGATTGAATCTCGGACCGCAGTGAATCCTGTAGCGGAGTCACGCACTGGAGTTGTTTTGGGTTTTATTGACATTTTTTCCCACTGCGTTTTTGTGGACGTTCTTTGGATAGCATTTTTTTAAGGTAATACTTGTCTGTTTACAGTCATTTGGATGCTGCTAATGACAAGTTAGCTGTGTGCATGCAGTTATTTTTCTGTTGTGAGACGCGCGTGTGTGTGTTTTGCTTTGCTTGTAATGTAAAGGTCACCCAGCTCCAGAAATGTTGTCTATGTGTGCATGCGTTTGTCATAACCACAGAAACACATTATCAACTATAATCAGTGTGTAGGCTATGTGTATGATTCTTGCATTTTTATTTATGTCTATCTATATGGGGTTTTCATCAAATGTCATGCAGCTGTGTGGCATAGGCTACTTGACATGTTAATTATCAATTACCCAAACAAACCTTTTTAATAAGTTCCATAGACCTCACCGTTGGACAAAGCTATAGTTTCATATTTCTACAGCTGTTGTCTACTAGATTTGACAATTTGAAGGAGAAGTGTTAAAATAGCTCAGATATTCTCCTTTTCCATTCAAAAGTACAGCGTTTTTCATTTTTGGCTTTGTTGGAAACACTTGTGGTGGACACCCAGAGGTTGGAGTTCTCAGTTTGAAGTACTTTGTCTCAGATATTTCTTCTCATAAATAAAAATAGACTCAAATGGCAGTAAGAGCATAGTGTAATCAATGTGGAAAGCAGAGGGTGGACTATTTCAGCTTGTGAGATTTTGATTTAAAAATTGAGTTTATATTGAAATCTCTTCTTTTGCTTGCAGAATTTGGCAAATCTGAGCACAGTTTGAGATTGAGATCTCCTGTGAAACTCTAAAGGAGACACAATTTACCTGGGTCTTTTCCCTCAGGAGATAAAGCAGGGCATTTAAGCCATTTGCTCTTCTTTTATTCCCATATCTACAACCATTGAGATATGAAAGATCTCTTATTCCTATGGGCAGAGAAGCATTTTGTGTACTAATAAACTCACAGTGAATTAACTCAGCAGTTTAGAGGTTCGTGTTGAGTTAGAGGAGGTGTGGAGGAGAGCGGCAGAGGGGGAGAGGTAGATGGAGATGCAGATAGAAACTAATGAAAGGAATGAACAACAATCTGTCAGCTCACTGACACTGAAGGAAATGATATCTGGAAGAGAAGAGAACGTACTGTTTGGTGATAATTCACAAACAGAATGGGTTATGCTGTATTTCTCTGTGTTTTTAAATATTTAATTTTGTTATATAGGAGAAACAGTTAAGATTCTAAAGATGCCTCACTTGTGATTTGTCTTTTTAAAGGATAACATCACGTTCAAAACATTCTAGAGGTCCTAACCCTCTTCCAATATCCTAACCTTATTACCACACGTTATGGTGCTTTAACGTTGATGAAGGAACGTTATTTGCCAGTACGGAGAGAGCGACATCACTGTGGCTATTTAGAGGACTGATCTCCTTTCATTTTCCCCATCAAACCCTCTGTGACCCAACGCTGTGATTGTGTTTGTGATGAGGGCATGTCTGTCTCTGTCTCATTCAAGCATTGTGCAGACTGCAAACCTTCTCATCTGGTGTTTGGGAGCAGCCAAAGTCAGAGCAGAAAACAGTTCAAAAACAGTCAAAACAGTTGCATCACTTTTGCAGCTACACTCTTAAAAAAAAGGATAGTTATTGGCATCAATTGTGCCATTAGGAACCTTTAACATGCATAGAACTTTTCCATCAGACAAAAGGTTCTTTACAGTGGATAACATTTATTTTGATTATTCAAATGTTTTTCATACTTAGAAAAAAATGGTTATTTTAAGAACTGTTCACTGAAAGGTTCCTTGGAGAACCCAAAATGGTTCTTCTATGGAATCACTGTGAAAAAAAAGTTTTTTTGGAACCTTTTATCCGTTCGTATTCACTAAAAATAGATGTTTCTGTAGATTTGCAGCAATCATGGCAGCAATAATTCATCAATTGATAAAGATGTGATGGAGAAGAGTGTTCGCGCATTCACCATTTTTAAGAGCCAAGGCTAGTTTAAAATGTCTATTTCAAATGACAATTTGAAGAAGGAAAAGTGTTAAAATAGCTCAGACGTTCTCCTTTTCCATGCAAGGGTGTTTTAGGGTTTTTTCGAAACATTTGTGATGGGCAGAGTTTGAAGTTCTCAGTTTGAAGTACTTTGTCTCAGATGTTTTTCCTAACATTCTTAAGGAGAAATACATAATAGACTTAGATGATTGTTGACATACAATAATAGTATAGAGTAATAAATAGCATGGCATGGCATGGACCATTTCAGCTTGGGAGAAATTTATACTGAAATCATTTTCTTTTGGTTGCCCATTCTTATTCATTTATAAAATTCATTTATAAAAATAGATGTTTGTGTAATTCATCAATTGATTATGCAATGATGAGGAGCAGCGTTGTTGTCAAGCGCATATTCAGCACTTTTGGGAACCAATGCTGTGCCATAATTTCTTCAAGAAGGCACTACAGAAGGCAACTGTCTTGAATTATGGTCTGCAAAGTTCTAGGTTTGGCAAAAGTTTCTCACCTAGTTGTGAAGGTCTGGAGACTAAGAATATGGTCTAACTTGTCTAAACAGTTCAAACCTCAAACAAAGAGGTAGTCGGGCGGTCCATTGAACTGGAGTCAGTCATTCTGCCGAATTAGAGAAAGGACACAGCCAAAGCCATCCCAATCTGAAGGTGGCTGCAGTATCATCATCATCATCATGATCCTTAAGTGTGTCTGTTTTTAGCAACTCTGTTTCCCTAATTCATACAAAAAAAGCCAGCGAGGTGCCTCGAGGCCAACGCCCGTTGACTTACCAACCACTTCTGCTAAAATTTCCCCAAATGAGTCAGACAGTTATATGCCTACATGCATGGTTTTGCACAGATGTAAGAAGGATTCCTCAAGAGGAGTATTTTAATAAATAGAGAACCTCACATGTGGCATTACATTAGTTAGAACCTGACTTGTGGCAATGAGACAGATATACAAGTGTGGCCTCCAAAACAGACAAAAAGTTCCTCAAAGGGACTATAAAATCTTGTATATCAATACTTAGTGAATGAAAAACATAGTCCATTCAACTTTTCGCCAAATTACTCATATTGACTACATTTATTGTATGTTTTGGAGCTTGATGGTTGTTGTCCCCATCTATTTTCATTGTATTTGAAACAGTATCCTGGACACGGTTTTAAATCATAAGAGGAAAAGAAGTGAATGATGCCAAAATATTTATTTCAGGCTGAAATATTCCTTTACCATTGATATATATTTCCATACAAAAATTCTGTACGATTTAAAGTATCTTATGCTCACTGAGAGTATGTTTAAACAACAATGATGCACTAAAAATGTAAAAGTTTTTCCTTTGCATTTTTGAAAAAGTTTTGACAAAGTTGCTAAAACGATCCATTCATACGGATCCGTGAAAATTGCTAAAAATACAGCGCTGAATTTTGGCTGCCAGGCCAGTAGATGGCGATGCCACTTTGTAAACACTGCGCACATAACTGTAGACTGACCGTGTAATATATATGCGCTTGACCGTTTTCACAAATTCACATTTTTGTAGTTTACACAAAGACTATAAGGGTATTGTTTTCAAAACCGTGCACTTTGAAACCTGTTTTTGAATGTTTGCAATTCCAGGCTCTCAAAAAATGTGTTGTTATGTAAATGAATGTATGCATTTATTATTTGAAAAATGGTAATATCGTAAATTTAGCCATTTCGCCAGTCTTCAGTGTCACATGATCCTTCAGAAATCATAATAGGCTGATTTGCTGATCAAGAAACAGCATTTCTTTTTGTTATTTTTTTCCCCAACTTTTGTAGCATTAAAATGTATTTACTGTTACTTTTGATCAATTTAATGCATCCTTGCTGAAGAAAAAAAACAAAAAAACAACCAAAACTTACTGACCACAAACATTTGAACTCCTGACACATTCAAGTTGAAAAGTTGAGAATAAAACTAGGAAGTGGAACCATTTCTACTTTTGCTAATTCTTCTGAAACATCTAAAGTTGAAAGGAAACAGAAAGCCCTTATGACATCTCCATATGAATTAAGTGAGTATGATGTCATAAGAGATTTGTGTTGCCTTTCACCTTTTGATCTTTGAAATTACTGTAATGAATACTGAATAATACTGCAATGAATACTGTCGACGGCTGAGTTGAGAACAGAAATAGGAATTGGAACCATTTCTAAGTTTGCTAATTCTTCTAAATCATCTAAAGATGAAAGGAAACACAAAGCCCTTATGACATCATACTCACATAATTCATATGCCACATGTGTCAATCAAACAGCAGTGACAGTCAAACCCTGACCTTTACCTGACTGTGTACATGCACTCTGCCAGAAAGACGTCTCTCACACCCTACTGTGATTTTGGCAGGTTTTCTCCAGAACAACACACTGATATGTGCCTCAGTGCCTCAATCCTCATTTTTAGAAGTTTTGCGGTACTGATAGATATTTTTATATTCTAAACATTTAGGCCTGGTTTCATAGACAGGGCTTAGCCTAAGCCAGGATTAGGCCATAGTTCAATTAGGACATTTAAGTAATTTTTATAAACGTGCCTTAGAAAAAACTACTGGTGCGCTTTTTGAGACAAAACAAAGGCACTGATATATTTTAAGATCAGTCAGTGCAAGTTTCTTTCATTTGAAACAATATTTTTATTATTTCATTCCATTTTTATATTGAATCCTACATTTTAGTCTAGGACTAGGCTTAAGCCTTGTCTGTGAAACCGGGGGTTAAAGTTTTTATTCTTTATATACACAAACATCATATTGAATTGAATAGCATTTGTCTTCCATTTGAGAAGTTTTTGCGGTACTGATAGATATTTTTATATTCTGAACATTTAAAGCTTTTATTTTTTATGTACACTATAATATATAGCATCATGATGAATTAAATAACATTTGTCTTCCATTTTAGAAGAATGTTTTTTTTCCCCCACTAAGCTCATTTGCAATGCATTCTGGAATTGCTTAATCCATATGAATTACATTCCTTTCATTTTCTGCAAAAATCTTGGTACGCAACCTGA